TATGTATCGACCCAGGACCTGACATAGTAAAACTATCATTACTCTCCTGCCTGGATTCCTGAATGATACTCTGGGTAAAGGTGATCAAACCTACATTAGTCTATAACATGGTCCATACGGAAGGAAAGAGAAACCGGTAATGACCAAGCACAGTGTGGCAGGCAATAACAATAAAAACCTCATCTCTAAACTTGGAACTGTTTTATTTTTGCTTGAAGGAAAATACATTGTACGACATTAGCATCAGATCAAAAAACATTAGGTGCAAAAGCAGAATGTGTGAGTGCATACCTGCACACTGCCATGGCCAGCAGCTGCTGCATGGCAGCTGACCTTCACTGTGACCTTTGATGCTGGCTTGCGGGGAGGTGCAGTAAAATGTCAGTTACTCTGTGGTGTGGTGAGGTCCATCCCCTCACGGCTACCAGCTGCATCACCTCTGCAGCCTCCAGTACACAATTTGTATACTAGTCAATGGCCTTGCTGATTTTATTATACAGAGTCTGGAATATTTTCCCTAGTTCTTCTGTCCTCATGTATCCATTCATTCAATTTTTATATAATTTTCAACTTAATGACAACCTGCAACAGTAACATAAAGAATTCTTATTCCCTACAGGCATATTCATAAATGTCAATATCTTGCATTTGCCATATTCGTCTCTCCCTGTGCATGTATACACAAAAAAATACCTGCAAACGTGTTTTTCAGTTCTGTGAACCAGGTGCCCTCAACCCCAAAACTTCAGTGTAGATGTCTCCAAAACAAGAAATGATCTTACATAACAGCATGGTTACAAGCAGACAGTCAACACTAATGAAATACTACCTAATTCACAGACCTCACTTATATTTCACCTCTTAGCCAATGTCATTGGTAGCAAATGCAAATCTATGTCTATTACATTTGATTGTCATGTGTCTTTTAGTCTCTTTAATCCAGAACAAGGTGTCTTTGTCTGTCAGGACACTGACAGTTTTTAAGTGTGCTGACCAGGTGTTCTGCAGAACGTCCCTCATGCTAAACTGTTCTGATGTTTCCCTGTGGTGAGATTTGGGTTGTGCTCTTTGCGCAGAAATGTCACAGAATGAATCCCCGTTCTCTGTGCTGTGTCCTATCAGAAGTGTACTCTGTCCTTCATCTCTTTACTAGCAATGTTAACTTTTATAAATATGTTAGTTGGTATCCAAAATTTTTCATTGAGACAGTATTTTACTGTTTTGTAATTAGCAAGTCCCTTATGGTAAGATACTTGGAGGCCACAAACATAGATCTTTATTACTCTTGGAACAGTCACTCAATATATTAGCATCCATTTACAATGCTTGATTGAATCAAGTATTAATGTGGTTGATTTGCCAGTTGATGGTTTTCTCCATGGATTCGTTTTTCATTGTTTGGAGGAGTTTTTCCTGCTCTTTCATTTATATCAGCATCTTTTGTGTCAGTGGGTTCTAATACTTTACTACTAGTATTTATTTTGATGCTTAAAATGTTCTAGAAGTGATCAGTGGGAACCACTAAGCTGGCTTTTATGTTTCTTTCAACAGATATTTTGAAACCAGCATATAAGAGGTACTAAGGACACAATTATAAGCAAAATATTTTAAAAATTCTTCAGGCTCATGCAGCTTACATTCTATTTTGAGGACGACAGATAATACTAAATAAATTATATAGCATACTAGAAGGCATTAAGTGCTGCATAAAAAAGAAACGGTGATCAGCTTCTGGTGTAAGACATGCTGCAGTTACCAAGGCATGGCAGGGGAAGCCTTCTTAGTAGGTGGCATCTGCACAAAGACCTGAAGCCCTGGAGGGAACCAACTGATGCGGGCGCCTGTAGGGTCACTACAGAGCCCTGGGGACCGACTGCTGCAATCCCACCAGGCAAGAACAAGGCACCGTTTTTTAGCAGGATAACTGGGGTTGCTGAGTTCAGTATACATATGCAGGGTGGGGGTAGGAAGGCAGACCAGTCACCGCCCAGGTGTCTTAAATTCCCACAGTGTGCATTCATGAAGCCTTGAACACTTTGTAAAGCACATATTGATACAGTGTCAATGTACTGAATTAACAGTCTCAGCCAGCAGAGTTCCTGTAGAAATGAGACCTGGATTTTAAATTATTTATCTTTTTCTATGCATGCACAGGGTTCAAACAGTAGCCATATACATATGTACATTCCTCTGTGCACACAGATACCTATGTACAGAGAGAGGAATGAAAAGGTCACAGAAGCCATGTGCAAGGGCTTTCAGTCTACAGATGACAGGAGATGTAGTATACAGAGAGGTGAATCATACTATGGCCCTGAAATCACTGCAGCGGATGGCTCATAGCTATTGTTAGCACACAACAATTTTAGAAAACTGTTGCACTTTTTTCCCAGCAGGGACACGACTACTGCCTTGTCATGTATTATGTAATGTGAGAGAACTTAAATGTCATCTAGGCTTTTTTTTTAAGCATCATTTTTGTCCACACCCCCTTAAAGGCTTTTCTCTCCAGCCTGTCCTCAAATGTCCTGAACCTCTGTGTTTATCTACACTTGGACTAAATTCTCACCTACCTCTTTCCTGGGGATGTGGAAAGAGCAGCTATTTGGCCAGAAATCTCCTAAAAATGACAGAGTAGAAAAGAGCAATCTGGTCACAGAGAGTAGGCACCAGTAAGTCACAAATATACGGCTGTTTTGCTGCCATCTCTGTGATTGACTTCTCTGTGACCTTCTGCCGCGAACACCTGCCCCCACAGGTGTGTGGAGGTCTTTAATTAATGTTTGTAAATCTCCCTGATTGCCACAGAGAAAAGGTAGCAGGAAAGGACAAAGTATTACTAATCATGGGGGAAAATGAAGAGATTAAGTTTTTTTTTTTTCTTTTCCTTCACCACAGAGAGACTGACCCCCACAGACATTACTGTTACGGTAGGAGGATCAGATGTAAATCTTGATTTACATATTTTGCATTTATGGAAATGCCCAGTGCCCACATAATGGACACACTCCTATGCTGTGTTCTTTGCAGTCCTCAGGATGCACTGCCTCTGCCCGCTAATGCAGTTTAAGTTATTACCAAGGAGTCTTGCTATTCGCAGTGAGTGTGAGGGTTCATCTAATTAGCTGATTTCAGTTCATTTGGCATTAAATAATTCCCCAAATTCCCATATGTTTGAACAATATGTTCAACGAGGGGGGTGATTTTCTGAAAGCAATTAAATAGTTCCTTTAGGAGAGCTTGTCATCGGTCACTCGTAAGCAGCTCTGCTGTTCCTGTCTGTGCTGAATGCAGGCGCAGTGACAGGAAGGATGCTGCCCCTCTGTCACCGCCGCTGGCAGTGTCCACACACAGGCTGCCGTGCAGGCTGGTTAGACACGCTCCAAATTTACTTTTTTTTTTTTTCAAACCTTGCGTACACTTTTTATAGAGCATCTGCCATTACTAACACATTGCTTTCCAGTCTCACTGACTACTTAAGGGTAAATGCAAACATGTTCACAGCTTCAGCTCCCCTTGGCTTGTAGAGGACATCAAGTTTGGACTGTGGTGAAGATGGAGCTTTTGAAGCCATCTCCAATGTTTCCTGGGGATGTCACCATGTCTAGGTCTGTCTTGCATACAGTAGATGTAAAATAACCCTTCTTTATTACAGGAGAAAATTATGGATAATGAGTTCAAATGTGACTACAACAAAAGAAATCAGATGACAACAAAAGCCATTCAGAACTTTATAACACATTAGATACACCCCAAGAAAACTGTTTATACAAGGTCATCTTTTGGAAACAAATTTCATCTTGATTTTGGCCAAGAGGTTGATTTTTTTTATTGAGGATGACATATTTAAATATCCTCCTAGATAGTGTGAGTGAAGGCTTTGATAATAATGTCAATCCTAGATCTCATGTAGCATTATCATTTGTGAGTGCTAAGTTGCTTTACTGGCAATATTTGGTATCATATGTCTTAGAAATGAAAACCTAGTAAATAAAAAAAATTATATAGTTTAATCTAGAACACATGTGCAGTTGGGGAAAATTAGGCACATTTTCAAGTTCTTTGCAATGATTGTTGCCTAATAAACTACTTCTTACTACTGTTAGGCAATGATTCAAAATGAAAGCCAAGGACTGGGGAATAGCTCAGTGGTATAGCCGTCTCCTGGCACACACATGTCCCTGGGTTTGATGCCCAGCTCTCTAAAAGAACAAAACGTCAAGGAAATGCAAAGTGAAGCATTCAATGAAGAGTTATCATTCCTTTTGTTAAATTGTGCTTCCTTTTATCTGTTTATTGACTGTCTTTCCATTGAAAATAATTCATAACACAAAAAATTTAAACATCATTTTTGGGTGGAATGATTTTATGTTCAAATATGAAATAGGAAAAGAGCTTAAAATATATATTTATATAGTTGATTATGCACATTTATATCTGTCTACTATGCTATCACTATATAAGCTATGTATAATGCATTGACAAAAAATAAATGTTTTCAAAACCATAACAAACATACTCAATCTCTGTATGTTTGAAGTACGGTTTTGTTCCATAATAATTTGTTTTATCATTTACCAGCATTAAAAATATTATTGAATGTGTGGTGGGGAAAAAGCAATCTGATCTTAATAAGACTACCAGATCAGTCATTTGTCTAATGCTTTTGACTTTGACATTGACAGTGTTATCAAAAAGGATAAAAATTCAGCAGCTAAGGTGTGACTTACCAATCAGTATTAGAGTCCCCTGATTCTGCCCTAGAATCACAAAGAAGCATTTATCATTTGTTCAAAACCTACGTTTAAAGTCGAGCTTGCTATGTGTGCCTGAGGAGTTTAAAATTAACACCTGCTCTTCAGAGCAGCCCTTGATAAATATGGTGCTATCCAGAGGGCAGTTCTGGGATAGGACTCGCTCAGCTGATGGGGTTCCCCAGTCTGTAGCTGAATTCTCATGTGTAACACCTCCTATCCATGTGTTTCCTCTCCACAATGAAGCCTTCAGTCGGAGGGGTCTGAGGTCCTCCTGAGTCCAGAAGTCACCTGCGGTCCCCCAGAGATGATCGTCACCACCCCCTTTGCATTGACAATTCCTCACTGCGCAGATGTCAGCTCCGAGCACTGGAACATCCACTTAAAGAAGAGGACTCAGCAGGGCAAGTGGGAGGTGAGCCCGTGCCCTCCTTTTCTACAAAACAGGAGCTGGGTTCTCTCAATAGCTTTCCCTGTTTTACCCCAATGAGGTTTGGAGCCTTTTCTTGTTGCAAAGGAGTTGTGACGTGCATTTTTTAAAATTCTCAAGCTATTGGTTCATTTTTTCCTATAGTAATAATGGAAAAGAGATTTAAGAGCTGAAGAAAAGAGCATTTTGTTTGGGGCGAGTTATAATTAGCATCAGAACTCTGAACACCTATGTACCCACTCAGTAACTTCTACGCCTTCTCACAGGTCATGCCCTGTATAACATAGCATTACTTATTGGACATGGGGTGCCTTGAGACAGGGAGGCAGACTGGATGCAGAAAACAAACCATGATATCATTGATGCCCCCACCTTGTACATTCTAACATAACTAGATTGCTCAGAAACACAGTAGGAACTTAATCTATTTTCGGTGAATTAATGAATGCACTGAGGATTGCTAATGTCTGTTTCCCTGTGTATGTGAGAATGTTCACAGGAGAGAACAGAAAAGGAGACAAGAATGAAAGATCCATAATAGGGGACCCAGAAGGACAGCACAGCAGAGATAACTGTAATAGAATTACTATTTTAAATGAAAAGCACTGGTTTATCTGTCTGATAGGAATTCCTTTATGTCCATGTGAAGTCAGTTTGCATGAAAGCAGGTGAATTATCTTGTTGGAACACAATGACCTGCACCAGCTAGACCCTGGGATCCTGCCTTGCAGGGGGTGCTTAAGACAGTAGTACTAAAAGGAAAATCATATTTCTTTAGGAGAAGAAAACTCCGTTGCTGCAATGTGTTATATTTCCCCTGCCCAGCTAAGTCTTGATGGCTTCTGCTTTCACAGTCCTGTACCAGGACACATTGCTTAGAGTATGCAGTTCATCCAGGAAGCATGTTTTGGTCTCCTTTCCATTACGTTTTGCTCTGCCTTGATTTTTACCAGTTGAGTTTTTCTTCTCAGCATTTCCTTCCATTCTTTTACATCCAGATGGTGTTATATTTATGCTCTCCCAAACCAGTCATGCAGATCAAAGATCTTACCAGAGAAAGTAAAGTATTCTAGTACATTATATCCAAATCATTTATTTAGTGCGCCTTCATGAATGATTTCAGTGAAATGAAAGAGGATAAAATGTTTAAGAGAAAATAAATATTACTTGAAGGATATTTAACAAGGTTTTCTAGAATAGAACTTTATACAAAAATAAGTTTCTTTTATTGAGGTTAATGTTCACCATTTTTTGAAAACTGGTATTGAACCATTAACCAGAAATGGAATTCCAAAGTGATTGTTGGAATTATAATCAAAGTAGAATTGTCACTCACTAAACATAACCACTTACTGAGTTTTGATGTAAGCAGTTATTTTAATAGAAGAATAAGAACTAACATCAGATAATTAAGACAATAAAAATAGTCTGAAAATATTTCTTCATACTGGTTTAGCTGTTTATGTCCTTGTAAAGTGCCAACTCTCATCTTCTTTGCAAGCTCAGATAATTTAATGCATCTTTCCCCAACAGGAAGTGATGTCAGTGGAGGATGAATCCACATCCTGTTACTGTCTTCTGGATCCCTTTGCATGTCACGTGCTCCTTGATAGCTTTGGGACCTATGCCCTTACAGGAGAGCCAATCACAGACTGTGCTGTGAAACAACTCAAGGTGGCAGTCTTTGGCTGCATGTCCTGCAACTCTCTGGATTACAATTTGAGAGTTTACTGTGTGGACAACACCCCTTGTGCATTTCAGGTTAGTAATCCTGTATAATTCTTTTGGGTCATGAAACTGGAATTTTCTAACACTCAGTGTCAATAGAGGACTATATTTTTGGGGATTTAGAAAATGAACCCACAACACAGGTTTGGCTGGCACACCCGTCTTGAAGCAAGAGCTGTGTATCCAGGTATCCAGTAATGGAGAGGGCATGGGATACTTGACATTCAAGTTGTGAGAACAGTCAAATTAACACACACACAGACTATTGTACAGTAAAGTGTAAACTCATTCTAGTCATGATTCAAAAAATGGAGATGCACATGAAAGAGAAACTGGAGAAAAGTTTTGAGGAACCTCTTACAAATCCAACGGCTGCATAATATTTAAAAACACTAGGGGATACCATGTAGAAAAAGAAAATGGAACGTGTTACAGAACAGAGCTCTTGGACATGGAGAAGTCAGTGAAAATATTGCTTGAACCAACTGAAGGTTACAGTTAGGATAACAATGCTAAATTATACTATCACCAGCCGGTCATACTATATCTTGGACACATAGTCTATTAATTATCAGGGCTGCAAGGGCAAAGATGGTTCAAGTTTCTTTCCATTTCTGATACTTTTAATTATCTAAAATTCATTTTAGATTAGCTACTCATGAAGGGTGCAAGCTTATTAATAGCAGCAAGGATAATGCAGAACTATCTGTGTAAGCTTTGCTCATATATAAATAGCGTAGCTCTCCTGACACACCTCATCCCAGATCCCTGCTATGCCAGCCCTGGATCATTAAGCCCATTATGCAGCACATTTCCTCAGAAACTAGACTTTAAGACATTGTGCTGGAAATCTCATGTTCACCAACAGAAAAGACAGAATGATCTGAATCCCGAAATTAAGGGTGACACCATGCATGCCAGCCTGCCTTCCCAAACCTTACTGACCATCTTCTAAGTAGCGTAATTCATTATTAAGGACACTCTTAACTTTAGGCTGTTCATAAAAGGGGCTTCTTTTATAGCTAAGGCATTTTAGAAACAACTTCAGCGTAAGTATTAAAATACCATCTTGTGACTGTCATTTTATATGCACTGTACTCTTCATCTGCTCTCTCTAGCATCCAAAAAGAGGATCTCTCCAAGAAAAAATGCATGATAGATGTTCACTAGACCAACAATAAATGGCTAAGTAGAAGGGTTCATCTTGGGGTCACTACCTCCCACCAAACAGTTACATAAAATGTACCAATGATTCCAGTTGGATGTTTAGTAACCCAGCCAGATTTTAAAGCCTGAGTAAAGTAGAGTGGGCATGACGGATCATGGGGGATTTCCAGTTTCTGGGAACATGTAGATAACCAGCTGCTGACCGTGGTGACCAGGCCGCACTGTTCACACAACTGCTGTTGAGGTCAGCCCCAAACCTACAGAGACTGTGCCACAAATAAGTCTCACTCTGATGCAAGTACCAGGAAAGACAGACATTCACCTGAAAAGGTTCTCGTCAGTGACTTCAGGTGTTCTCTTTTCCTTTTTGTTGATGCTATCAGATTCTACAATAAATGGGCTGTTCAAATATAAGATGTGACCCCCAAAATAATGACTGTTTACATTTTGAAAAGTATATCACAGTAAAAAACCACAATTATCGTTAACCCCCTCAAAATAGTCCTCCTCACTTTGAAGCACTTCTTCCATTGATTTTACTATTTCCTGAAGTGGTGCTGAAAGTCCTCTTTCATGAGTGTCTGTATGAGGCATAATCAAAAATATACTAAGTGCCATTGGACAAAAAGACAACCTCATAAAATATTACAGGGTGCTCTTTTCACCTTATTCACTGACTCTGGCACCATGCAACTTACTGTTCCCTAAAGTCAAAATCACCATGAAAGGTAAATTTTTTAAATCAATTCAGAACATCAAAGCAGCCAGGACATTGTAACTAAAAACTCTGATGAGGCAGATTCAGAGCTGCTTCAGAAAGTGGCCAAGTATAGGAATATAAGTGAAGGAATATATGGTGAGGATGGAGAGGTGAATGGTAAAGTGTACTTTCTGTAAGAATTATTTTTAATGTAGACTTTCATAATATATTTGATCATATCTAATATGCATTGCCCAAAAAGTCATGACCCCAAGGCCCTAACTGCAATTTTCCAAACCATTATCTGTTCCTGTTGGTAATTTACCCCTCTTAAGTGACTGCTACAAAAAAATGTTAGTCTCTCCTTTAATGTAATCCAGGTATCTTTATTTCATTATTTAAGAGTTAAGTCTTAAATTAGTAACTTTTTCTTTACCTTTGCTTTAGAAAGATGTTTATTCAGTGGCAATACCTTTGAACTCCAGTCATCATAATCTGTTCATCCCTGTGATTCTTTGTCTCTCTTATTGTGTCAGCTAAATTTGACTTTAAAGTCACCTTCGATTGCACTTGTCATGGTCAGGGTGTATGTGACAGCTGTCATGGGCAGCAAAGAGCACACTTCCCCTCGGGGGTTTGGTAAGACCATCAACCTTGTATGAATAAACTTTTCTGATTCACAGATAGCTTAAAACAGAACTTATACCTTTCGTGAACAGAGACTTCTTAGTTTACTTCCTAGTCAGAGACTCTGGTTATTTGTATCTGAAATGATTTTCTCTTCTGGATTTACCTTGCTAAGTGAATGTGCACAGATCATTCAGCATAAATTATGATCACCTCAATTTCTTAAATCATAATGTGTTCTATCTTAAAGGGCTTTGTATGCAGTATTTATTAGTGGGAGAAAAAATAATGCTACCAATCGAAACTGTAAAAAACCATCAGCAACAATTCATTTTTTAATCTTTTAAAAGACTTCACAGCTAACATAAACTCCCCAAATTTGGGGGTGGCATGAGCTAAAAATACTGTATCCAATATTAGTTTATTTTCTGAAATCCTCATGAAACATGTCTTTATCAAAAGTAGTGCGGACTTCATCATGAAGCACTTCTGCAAAAATTGTGCATTTTAAAATTTGCTTCAACTATCACTGTAAGGAAATGTGTATCAAAACAATACATGCATGGGGGTGACACAAGCTATACTTATTGCATCTCAGTAAGAAATGGTATCAAACAGTACCTGACTGAGCTTTGCTCCCATCCAGGAAGGAAATGTGGTTGAAGGTCAGGGATGCACATTTCATTCACATCTCCTTAGAAAATGTCACATAAAACACTGAAATGCCCATCCTGTCTCTGCAAAACCCTACATAAAGAACCACTCTGCCTGTCCCAAACTCAAGTCTACCAGAGTGATCAGAACTAGGCAGGGGTCAGGAAACATCTTGGTCCCACCAAAGAATACTCATTTCAAGAATGCTGGTACCTACCTGGAGTTTCTGTCCTTCTACAAGGCTACTCAGCTTTTCATTTGTTCTGGGGTAATCTATCTGAAGAACAATAGCTATTTCTTTGAATGACAAAGACAATATACTTTATTTACCTGGTGAAGATACAATTCGTGTAGGATCAGCTTTTTCTGAAGACTTGTTCTGATAAATACATCTAGCACCTCTATGGAAAATTACGGCAACTCAGATATAGATATGTTACCAACAAATAAAAAAATCTGCCAGAAGGGGAGGTAAGGGTGAGAAGACAAAAGTTAAACAACCTCTTGTCCTGCTTCAGTGTCTGTGACAGTGGGAGTGGCCATTTGGTGTCTATGTGCTTGCCGTTGTTCCTTTGATGAATTCAAACAAAGGCTGGGGATTGGTGATGTATTTCCAGAGCTGTAACATTTTAAGACTTAGTTTTCCCTTATTGAGTTTTATTATACATGGACACACACATAGTTTAAACAAACCTTGACATGGGGAAAGCAAGGAACTAAGCACTTGCCCTGTGTTATCTTAGAAGAAGAAAAACTCAAGTTTTTTTTTTTTTTTTTCTCCGTGGCTCCCAGAACTCTTATTCAGTATCTCTCGGTACTCATTACTTACTTGGCATTAATGTGGATTTAGAATCTAATTTCAACGGATTTCCTCCAGATGTAGTTCTTGTGTTTATCAATAATGCAACCTTGGGAAATATTGTTCATGTAAAGAGTTTAAAGGAAAACACTACAACATAATGTGTGAGTGCATGAGTGTGTGTGTGTCTGTGTGTGCGTGTGTGTGTGTGTGTGTGTGTGTGTGTGTGTGTGCCTAAGTTCAAACAGTTTTGTCTCATAAATATGTAAATTCACCCTGCCTGTTTGGGATCCCTGAAGCACACCTGAACATTGCTGCCTGTCTCATTAAATCCACACAAAGAGCTCAGAAAGGCAGAAAGCACAGGTTTTTCCTGGCTACCGCTTCCAGAACTTGCAACACCCAAAGTGAAATGAAGAAGTACAGAGCCTTGGAAACCACAGTGCAGAGCCCTAAGGTTTTGCATACTAGCAAGCAGCCAGGGCCTGTTTCCTTTAACTCAGAAATCAGTTAGGCAGTTCACTTACCTGGAGTGTAAGAGGCAGAGAGGAAAACTCAGGTGACTCTGGGCCTCACTCTTGGGGTGACACCTGCGTGCAAGGGACTCAGAATTCATTCAGTAAAGACATGCATACCACTGATTCCCTAACACAACTAGGCACCAGAACCACGGAAGAACCACTTAAAAATGCAAATGTCTCCAGGTGTGGTGGCACAGATCTGTGATCCCAGCACTGGGAGCCTGGTGTAGAAGGATGGCAAGGGCACACTGAGCTTGGACAGTGTAACAACTTATGGAAACCCTGTCTCAAAATAATAATAATAAATAGAGGCCTGGGGATGCAGAGCATTCTGAGGACTCTGAGTTCAGCCCATATATGGCAAATAAATAAATGCAGATATCTAGGCCCAGAGAGTGCAGCAGTTTAAGGGAATGAATGGAAGTCTATGTTAAAATGTCCATTCTGTTCGAAGAGTGTTTTAAAAGTTCTACTTAGGAAAGTAATTCTTTCATTCTAAAGCCAACTGTGTCTTTATGAATATATAAGTATAGTGATTAGTACATTACGGGCTTTTTCATTTTAATAATTACTTGTGTTGTAACAGAATTACTACAATTCTTAATATTCTGTGTGAGATTATATGATACCATTAATTGCACATAGTTGGTTCGATATGTACAAATTAAATAGCCTAAAAATACAAAAATTAAATTAGGGTTGTCCTTAAACTGGAGACCAAGAGCAGAAGTTTTTTAAAAGTGCAACAATTTTTCTGTGCAATAATTGTAATAAAATACTCATTTTTAAAATTTCTAATATTCTCCATTCTGTATTTCAAGGACTGTTTAGACAGTATATATAACTGTATGGCAAACACAGACTGACATGTCATGTAAGCCCTATATTTGTATATATTTTTGCACAAATAAAAAATTATTTATGGGATAGTGTTATCAGTAGTGTGGCTTTTTCAGGACTCTGTAAAGAGATAGTAAGCATGGAGAAAGGGAAGGCAAGGAAGTCTAACGGAAAATAACAGCAGAGCATTGTGAAGCCACTTAGCCCTGGTCTTTACTCTGTCATTAGCCCTGTGACTTCAGGTAAATGACAGTTTTGGAGAGGCCTCCATATTTTCTGTAAACCAGGAGTGAGTGATCTGAATTTCCATTAAGTTCCTCTCTAATATGATGACTTTGCATAATTTCTAAATATTAAAACAGTCCAGCGCTATATCCGGTAATACATAATCTCCAAAGGGTCTCTGTATCTTCCTGGGTTATTTATTTTCTCATGCATGGAGGCAAGTTAGATCAAAAGAGAAGAGTACGCTTCAGAGGGCCTTGTTCAAATCTACCTTGGCATCAACACTGTTGATAGGGTTTTAATAAGCATGTTTCCCATAGCCCTTTCTAACCTTGCACCAGAATTGCAAAGAGGATAATATATTATCATGCTAATTATTCCGCTTGGTTAGGGATAAGCCCAGGTAAGCAAATGAGGCCTAAAGAAAATAAGTAATTTGTCTAAGACTACACGGAAGTGTGGAGTCTTTCACCTTTCACTTATAAATACTGTCTTGACTCTATGTAGCCCCTGGATTTCCTCACATACCTTACAGGTTGAGCACCAGGTTTATTTTAAAATGAAATTCAAGGTCTTCAGCGTGACAAGCAAGAATTCGTGATTTGGGCCCTTGCCATTCCTGTACCTGTTTCGAGCCATACCTTCCTTTCCACATTCCAGGGGGGCTGCTGTTCCTTGGGAGGCCTCCTGTTCACTGTCTGCAGCACTGGCTCCTGCTTTCTACATGGCTATGTCCCGCACCCCCTAAGGTTCAGCTTGAATGTCACTTCCTCTGTGATCACCACCTCTCCCATGGTTACCACCTCCTGAACTCAGAAATCAGTGAAACAGTTGCTTTAACTGTGATATACACGCAGATAGGAAAACTCAGATGACTCTAGGGTCACACTTCTGGGGTGACACATGCTTGTGAGTCATCAAGAGGTCCATAGAGATATACTTATCCCCTAACAAAGTTAAGCATCGGAATCATCTGGCCTAAGGGTCCTAAAGACCACGCCTCCCACTAGTGACACCAAAGAGCAAGAGAAAATGACAGTGAAACTCAATGATTTCATCCTGAAAAATATACTAGCAACCTATTAAAAGTTTATGTATCTTTGAAGAATGAAAGTTATATACACATTTTTTAATGATGTCATATGTACATATGATAACTCAAAAAACTTACTGATAATTGAAACACAATTTTATTGTATTTATAAACTTATTTGCCTTCTTACAACCTTTCTGGAAAGATTATAGGGCATAATGGATTTCTATTGTTTTATTTCTCCCAGCTCTGCAAGGAAATTGTAAGTTAATTAATGGTGATTTTATAATGCAGTTAGGGAAATCACTTATCTCCAGTCACATGAAAAACTTTAACTTCACAGTAGCTTATTATTTTACAGAATACATGCTTGTTCTATTATTTTATTTGTCCTAACACTTCTTTAAGGTAATTTCAACTACAAGTTTAAAACCAGATAAATGTTTACTAGATAGAATGTATATGGGCTTTGTTTGTATTAGGTATAAAGACTTCAGTGAAAGATACAAGTTTTTAACCTCAAAATTTTTATTTTTTTTTTCCTGATCTAAAGTTAACATGAGAAATACTTATTTTTTCTTGGCCTTTGGCATTATAACTTTTATGAATGTTGCCACAAATAAACTTATACCCTGGAACATCTATTTTGAGTCCCTCCAAAAAAAAATTTTTTTTTTTTTTTTTTGCCTTTTCTGTTTTTATTGGTACCAGGGATTGAACTCACGACTGCCTGCTTGCAACGCAGGCGCTTATGCCACTGAGCTAAATCCCCAGCCCCCCCAAAAAATTTTTAATGCCTGTGTTACTGGAGAACAAATGACCGAGTGGCAAAGGATGGGTCTGACTTTATTGTCAAAAATGATGATGGAGGAGCCTGTGTACAAATACTTCCATCGATTGTAGTCAGTTACAGAAAATCAACAGCTTCAGTATTCTTGGAGCCAGAAGAGATCTTTTAGTTTTAAAGCAAGCCGCCTACTAAAAGCCTGTGCAACACACACACACACACACACACACACACACACACACAATCAGTTGTTTCTTGCCAACCAATTCTTATTACTCAACAACTCTCAGTCCTTCATCCTGAACTTCCTCGGAATGCAGAGATTTAAACAAAGTATTTTTCTACTATGTTTCTGGTCCAACACTGGGAGACACATGGTAGTGAGCATCTGTGCCTGTAGAAGAAAGCTAGAAGGTGCTGGGTGCTTGATTGTTGGCCCTCTGGTCTTTTCTCCTGTAGGAAGTGGTTTCAGATGAAAGGCATCAAGGTGGACAGCTGCTGGAGGAGCCAAAGCTGCTGCACTTCAAGGGCAACACCTTCAGTCTCCAGATCTCCGTCCTCGACATCCCTCCATTCCTCTGGAGAATTAAACCATTCACCGCATGCCAGGTATTGGCCAGACGGGCTTGCGTTGAAACCAGGTGCTGTAACCTGGGAACAGGTCAGAGACCCCAGTGAGAGTCCTCTTGATGTTCCTAGTCCTTGAAAGTATGGATTTCACCTCAAAACTGCTGCCCAGATATAATCATCATTGCTGCACAGAAGGAATGAAACGTACTGCCCTAACTCACAGTGTCTTAACAGGTGGGAAGGAAGGTGCTCCCACACCAGGTCACGTGCCGGGGCTCCTCCTGCTGTTAGAATTGTTGCTCAGTGTAGACTGAAAATGGCAACTCACCAGCTTAAGGCTGGGGTTTGGGCATGGGTTATAAAATTAGCAATGAGACATTGCTTTCATCCTGTACAGCAGTGAATATTCTGAATATCGGTGACAAACTTTCAGGGAACAACTTCGAGTTACAGATGTGGCCACTAAGGACAAAAGGGCTCCTGCTGTTCTTGTGTGACATGCTTACCAGCAAATGGATTGGGCCAGTTTAGAGAAATTCTAAGCTGAGAGGAAGGCAGGATAATGCTCCTTTACAGTCATTTTGCGAATATATAAAGATATGTATGTATTAGTGTCCATATGTCTCTTGAGTTAAAAAAAATTTCAGGGTGATTCATTCCTTTTAAATCATTTTTAGGGAATTGGAATATATGCTTATCATGAAAAAATTTCTTCTCAACCTGTGATGCTGCTCCAGAAGTCTATGAAAATTCCCACTGATAAGTCCTTCCCCATAAGCAGCCAGATATCAATCATATTTTCTTCTCTTTTCTTGGGGGGCAGTTATTTAAGAGTTCTGTTGTATTTTAATTTAGTTGTTTTTTCCTATACTGGGCATCAAAGCCATGGGTATGCTACCACTGGGCTACATACCGCATTTCCTGCTGTTTTTATTTTGCTAGAATTTCACTAAGTTGCCCTGACAGGACTCAAACATTTGATCCTCTGGCCCAAGCCTCCTCCAGTGTTGGGATTGCAGGTGTACACTTCCATACCTTGCTCCATCACAGTTTCATAAGCCAGAATCACCAAGCATCAAGTGATAGAACATTGGCTTAGACCTAAAAAAGCTTCTGGTGAACTCACCTTGATCTGGAATTACAGCACGTTTTCAGGGCCATCAGCATAACACATAGACCCCTGTGGGAATGCTTAACTTTTCCATCCTTGCAGATTTATTTTAAAATCATACACATTTCCAGCTTTCAGAATGGTAATGAGCCAAATCACAAAGAAAAACTTTGCCATGATAGTTAGAAAAAACTCAGCCACCAAACCTTCAAACCATTTAAAATGTCACAAGGTTACCCCTCTTATTTTCAGAGTTCACGCGGCTTTGGAAACTGCCCCTCCCAGTGTAATTTTAGCGTACTAAATAATATAAACATCTCTTATATTTGTGGGGGGGAGGGACATGCATGTTTGTCACATTCAGCAGATTTCCTTGGGGAGAGAGATGGTCTATGAATAAATGCATTCCTAATGACATTCAAGACCTAGGTGTCTTTGTTTTACAGTAAGCATTACTCAGGTTTCCAATCCAAATTGAACTTCAGAGTATTGTTAAAATAAGTCTTGATAGTCATGTGAATTCCTATGTATTAATCTTTATAGGATATAAGGATCTCATTTCAGTGGATCTAACATGAGTGACTCAGTCCAGAGTAACTATTAAGTTTAATGCTTGAAGATAAAACATCAGATGAAAGAGCCATTACCTTGCAGCAGCTCTTAAGCAGTAATTACAGCAACAGGGACCCCAGAATAGATGGCGGAGGGGAGGGGGGGAGTCAGCAGAGAAGGCTGAGAGCTCATGCTGCTGAGCTCAGAGGATGCACCAGGGCCAGCCTCAGAGCACTGGCTCGGGAGGAGACCCAACAAGCTTCACCACTGGGATGGCCTGGACTGAACAGAGGTTGTGAACATGTATAAATATTTGCCTTTTGTAATTGAGCATAATTTGAAGGAGTCTTGGAAGGCTGAGAAACAATTTAATTTTCTCTGCATCAGGAGGCTTGCCACTGAGTTTTTATTTCCACTTCATTTTTCTTACCAGAATGGCTTTCTGCTCCCTCCGTTCCTCCTTTTCTCTGCCACCCCTTCCCACCAGTCTCCCTGCCCCTGCTGTCACTGAAAGCCATCAGCTTGTGAGTCTGCATTTGGTATTTGGTTTAATGACCATGCTGTGTTTGCCCCAGGCATTCAATGTAAGCACTTTGGGGAGAGTTTGCGTTCAGCCTGCTTGATCTTCTTGGAGAACGTTATGTGCACTGACAAACTTGGCATGGATAACCAAGGATGGACTTTCATTAGAGCTCAGTGGTTAGAAACTAACGGGGCTTTTTTCATGTTATCCCAGAGGAATATTATGGAGAGAGAATGTCACACTATTCCTGACACCATGTGTAGGTCTCTCTTTCAACTGGTAAATTTTCTTGTCATGTTTCAACACAATGCATGAAAAAAAAAAACTCTGGTACAGCTGTCATCCTTGCCTTTTTTTAAAATATCAGACTGAAACTCTAGAAATTGCATATTGCAATTAAATACCCAAACTCCTCACCGAGGGCACATCCTGCTTTCTTTTGGGAATGCAGGCTTGGGAGGGACCCAGTGAATGTTTACTATCTATCAGATGTTTACTGTCTATCAGACACCAACAAACTAGTAAGAAATGATTTGTAATGTGAGTTCACACGGTGTCCTGAGCTATGTGATGAGGATCTACGTATAAGAGGATCACATGAATTTGAAGTTATTGGTTTAGGTTCTTGGAAGACTACAGCTATGTTATGCTACAGCGCAGCCTTTTTGTGCATAATGTCAGGTATGAAGGTGGACACGAGGAAAGGAGAGGCTATGGGTGTTCTCTGGAGATCTAGGTGCATAAAACCTCTTGGCCCCAGGGGCTAGCAATCCTCTTTAGGAGGTAAATGCTCTGCTCTCCGTGGGTTACTGAGACCTCAGAGCTACTCAATCATACTTTTCTTTATTTCTTGCTGCCTGTGGGGTGGGGAAGCTGTAATAAACAATATACAATCAATTATTTATTTTTTCAAATCCAGCAAAACACAGAGTCGGGTTGTCACATCGCTGAGATAAAAGCAGCTGTCTTTTCAGCGTGTTATGTATATTGAAGAACTCAGTGTGTGTCTCCTGCTAGGATATGATTTACATTCTCTCCATCTGCTAGAAACCTAATTATAATTGGAATCAGAATGAAAACATCTCTGGAATTCTTTAAACACCCATAACTTTTGCTGCACTTCTTCCTCTCTGTTGCTTCCTGCATAATATCTCTCAGCTCAGTCAGTGCATTGATGATTTTTTTGTTTGTTTTCTAGGGTTTGGGGGTTTTTTTGGTGTCTTATTTTTTATTTAAAAAAAAGCAAACATTGTTGTCCTGAAAACACACTAATCAAAGTGCTTCTAATTCTATTATTTTTAAATATTTTGTGGAGGACTATAGACAGTTACTACTCCCATAACAATAAAAACATTCCTTTGATATCTTAGAATCAAATTTTTAAAAAGGTTTTCATTATGTGCACTGGCATGTAAAGGGAAAACAACAGAGAGAGATACAGAGACAGAAAGAGAGCGCATGCAGGCAGAGGCGCTGATTCTCATTCTTTCTCAAGGAACCATTATCTCTGCAGTAGGCTTCACTCTCTGTTCTTCCTTTGTTTTCAGAAGGAAATAAGGAAATTTACTGAATGATACTAGAGCAGACACTTACTTTAAATAAGTGGTCAGTGTCACTTTTTTACAAAGTTACACAATACCATACACACAAATCCCTTGCAGAAAATGTAGGTTTGCTTAAGACCTGCCTGGGCCTTGAGCATGGCTCTTTCTAGCCCTGAAGTCCCACTGCCTACATTATACTATCATTGTGTATAAAAGAAAGTTCCTTGATCAGCTAAAAGCACCTATTCGCCTCAAACCCTTAAGTTTTAGATTCTTTCATTGAAAGAGATGGTGCAAAGCAATGCTACAAAAGTGTTAATTTGGAGAACAGCGTTCCAGAGCTGAGAAGAGTAAGGACAGTCACTGATCTCAAGGGAGGCCTTAGAGGACCCGGCAGGAGGCCGTGTTTAGCAGGCAGGCAGCAGGAGACACTGCCCATTGCCAGTGCATTGTGGAAGCAGAGTTCAGATTAAATCTGATCAGGTCAGTTGTCTCCCACTATGACTGAGTTAACAGAGAAACCATAACACTGTCCCCTGAAGAGTACAAATAAAGTGCGCTCTGTTCTTCTCTCCTGTGAAGCCACCAACCTCAACCTCTCATTAGGTTTATCTAGTAGAGACTGAAAGCCAGCAGTTAGACACTAGATTTAGCTACGGAATAAAATGTATAGAATGGGAAAATTGGAACCAAATGACAATGAGAGATGGTGGTAATCCCTTAAAAGGCAAAGTTGAGCCCTGCTGTGGTGGGGAACACCTGTAATCCTAGCACTTTATGAGGATGAGGGAAGAGAATCTCAAGTTCATTCCCAGCCTTGGAACTTAGCAAGACCTTATCTCCAAAATAAAGAAAGAAAAGACAAAAATGGCTGGTGATGTAGCTCAGCATAAAGACTCTGAGTTCAGTCCTCAGCACTGAAAAATAGAATGAAATAGATAAAGTTGCCAGAGTTATAAAGACCTAACTAATAGAATAGCAGGATTTGATAATAATGAGATGAATACCATCGAAGTAGTTAGTAGCTCCCTCTGCAGGGAGATGGCAAATAGGCATGTGTGAGCAGACCCTGGAAGAGCTCAGTAGGAAGAGAGAAACATATAGAAGTTTGAATTCCAAAGTGAAAATCCCTCATGGATTGCCAAATGGAAGAAGACTCAGGAGGAGAAGCAGGGAGAGAATCAGCTTAGATAACAAGGAGAAAGGGCAGAATTGTCGTGTATCTGTTCCTGGAGATTGCTGTCTTGCTGGTGATACCAGTGAGTTTTAATTCTGCCAAAATTAGCTTAGTGCCTGCCTTAGATGTGAGCGCTCTGTGGCATCTTTCCATGTTACCCAGTTGGGGTTTTAAGAGAACCTCTTCAAACTCACTAGAATTTAATCAAAGAACTGTTTTGCTCAAGAGTACAGAAAGCATTCAAGACATTTCAGTTAAGGAGATATTTAATCAAGGGATTTATGTATTTCTACAATCCTTGAGGAACTTAGTGTCAAGATCATAGGAACATTATTGATATTAGAAAATCAACAGGGTCAGTAATTTCAGGAAATTACACCACCGCCAAAAGAGGTGAGAGGCCCCTGCCTACCTTTGCATGTGCTGCCAGGTGACCCCTTTGTGCCTGCCACCTCTATGAGGGGCAAGGATAGTCCTCTCATAAGTTCAGCATGACTGCCTCCCATCAGGATGGAAATGTGAATTACTGCTAGCCAGGGGAGCTATAAAGTAGAGTTTTCAGGCTTCCAGCCTCTGCCACCTTGGAGAGAACTGAAAAGTAAAGATAGTACTGAGGGTTAACAGTCCATATCTTCCACAAGAATGAAGTCAATAAAATTCTGTAAAGTGCCACAATTGTGTGCATCCTGAGCTCCTGTCTTTCTGAGAAAAATCTCCACTGCTTTTCCTCTGACTCAATATTAAGAAAAAACAAAACTCACAAAATTCTTATATTCACTGCTGAGATGCATGAGTGAATGTTTGACTTTGTTCCTCCATCTCTGTAAAGCTAGCTCTTCTCTTTTTTATGATTTTTTTTTTTTTTTTTTTTTTTTTTTTTGGTACCAGGGATCCAACTCATGACCTCACTCTTGACAGGCAGGCGCTTATGCCACTGAGCTAAACCCTAGCCCTAGCTCTTCTCTTTTTAAATGTATCACAGTCTGAAAGTCATCCTTTCTTTCTGGTTCCCCAGCAAGTATCCAAAATCAGGAACTGTGAGGTTTCTTAAAGAGAAAATTAGGAGACAAATTATATAAACCCATATGCACAATAGAGCTCCAGAATAACTGAGTAACTCATACTTTTTCAAAGAGAATAGAATAAATATTAAAACAACTCTGGATCTTATAGTGCATGACAACTCCAAAACCAGTCACACTTCATAGTCCCAAGCTTCCAGATTGATGTATCTTCTGCCACCTTGCAGTCTTAGTGTCATAAAAGTAATGTATGTCTTCAGCCACAAAATGGAGCAAACTAATGAGCATAGGAAATAGAGAGAAAGGTAAGGCTGAGTATCACTAAAGGCTCGGTATGCATGGTCATTGTCATTGGCCCCAGCCATGTTTGTGCCAAGCGGAGAGGCTATTTAGATAACTAACAGGTATATTGTAAAGCCATAAGGCTGAGCACAGTCCTATCGGTAGCATGCATTTGCTAATCTTAAGAAATAATTTCCAGTCTCATTTAGTAAAAATCACTTGGCCAACTCAATTGTGTATCTGTCCCTTGAGAGCAAGAACCAAACCTCAATAGTTATTATTTCTCATTGTGTATCTAGTAGAGTGTCCAACCATTAGCAAGCTCTTTATACATAATTGTGGAGCTGGTGAATTGAAAATGGAAAATTAGCAAACTGCTTCGCTCTGGAGTAGCTCAATATTTGTGTCTTCCTCTCTTGCATGTGCGTACATATGTATGATTTTGCAGTAGGTATTTATTTTAATGCTGTATATTTTGGAAGTACTGTATTCCTACACAATCCTACATGAGTCTGTAATACAAGAGATAAGTTCTGGTTAGTCGGTTCTTTAACACAGGTTTAAAACAGAAGATGTTATCTTACCCTGAGTTTAGGTACAAGGATAAGCTGGGTATCTTCTGAGGGGAGAGTAATTCTTAGTGGGAAAATGATAAATTTTGATGCTTTTTTTAATTGTGTGTGTCACCAAGTGAAATCTGATCTCCTGCAGTCTGATTTTGAATTCAAATGTTATCAACTGGAATTGACATTAATTACTTTTGTGCCGCTTGGCATATGCTGGAACATTATTTCTACAATAATCCCATCAAAGTCACATAGGCAGTTGTCTCTGCTGCAATCTCTGTCATCATCACCATGATTATTGCTGCTGAGCATCTTCTGGTCTCCATTTATCTCAGCCAGGCCCTACACCCCATGCTCCTTCTGTGCTCCATTTCCCCTGCAGGAAGTCCCATTCTCTCGCGTGTGGTGCAGTAACCGGCAGCCCCTGCACTGTGCCTTCTCCCTGGAGCGCTACACGCCCACCACCACCCAGCTGTCCTGCAAAATCTGCATCCGGCAGCTCAAAGGCCATGAGCAGATCCTCCAAGTGCAGACTTCCATCCTAGAGGTGAGTCCTGGAGGTACCAGTCTCTTAGAACTCCCTTTCTAAAGCACGATAAGAATCACAGCTGTGCTGTTCATAGGCTGAAGAAACTTCAGAATGCACAAATTGCTTTTATTCCCATTATTGGTAAAAGAAAATAAACTTTTGCAGACTGAGGGTTGAACTGTGCTTTCCACTGGGCAGGGTTAAATTTAAGGGTAGGCTCTGGGGAAGGACTTTTGATGCACAAAACCACAAGCAGATTCATAGTCCATAGTAGGTTTGGAATGTCAGCTGAGATGCATTGCAGGCTGAGGCCAGATGGTAACAGGTGAGACACATACTGTTAAAAAGCACAAGATCACCACTGTCTTTCAGTTGGTTGTGACTAATTTCCTGAAAGTCACTTGCCTTATATGTTTTTCATCCTTAAGACCTGGGACTTTTATTGTCCTGGGAGGATACTTTATCTTGTATCCTCCAGGCTTATGGTTTTATATGTCCACATTTCCACCGAACCTAGATCCATCAGTGGAATAATGAGTTGGTGCCCAGTATCCATGGCTTTTACATTTACGGATTGAAAACATTCTGAAAACAAAATTTACATCTACACTGAGCCTGTACAAACTTTGCCCCTGTCATTATTTCCTAAACAGTACAATGATTTGCATAGGTTTGTATTGGGAACTCTAATCTAGAGATGATGTAAAATATGAGAAGGATGTGTATTTGCTACATGCAAATATGACACCATCTTTACACGAAGACTCCAACATCCTCAGATTTGGTATGTAGGTAGATTGCTGAAGTTTTCTGCTCCAGAGGTGAGAGAACAGGGGAAGATGGACAGGGTAGATATGACTCTCATTCTACAAGGGAAAGAGTTGGGATTGGAATAATAGGGATTCTTGCCCAACTAATGTCACTGCTGAAAGCAGAGTTAAAATGGGAATCAAAGAAGAATTTACTTGGAGATGTTACAAAAGGTACCAGATGCCTACAATGGCTCAGATTTGGCCTAAGCCATAGAATGACTTCATGGTTTTGGGCTTGAGCTTGCACAGAGGATTCCCTTCTCAAATGTTAGGATCAAAGGGAGAACGTAGCAGAGAGTCTGATGCCTTTGTTTCATGGTTTCGAGGTCATTCCTGGCTAATGTAGGAAAAGATGTATTTCATTGTTCACCTGTATAGTTGATTGAGAAACAGAGAGATAAAATATAGGTAAATATGTAAATAAAACATATTTCTTATTTATGCTTGACAGAAGCTTTAGTACATTTACATACATACAATTTAATTTCACATTTTTTTGGTTTGAAAACTCATGGTCATATACCATTATCACTTATCTCCGTTCTCATTACAACTCATTATAAAACCCAAGTCCTGCTAATTCCCCAAATATTTTTTCTGAGTAGATGGCTTTGTAAAGGATTGTGCCTTAAAATTGATAGCTGTCTTCACTGACATGTTTATCCACTATTTGCATTCATTATGGCCAATTAGCATTTTGTGCTAGAAGAGTTTTGATGGGGAAGGTATATCTGGAAACCTGCGGTAGGATATTTTTAGAGCTTTCCTTTTATAGTTCTGGCATATTTACCATCAGGCATTTCAAAGCAACATTAAAATTTTAAGAAAGTTTTAAAATATAAACAAGAAGAAAATCACAAAAGACCTAATCTTCAGAAGCATTCATAAACAGGCAAAATGTAGAGATGCCTCTGATCCAGATTGCCTTAAATGTCAAGTCATAGAAAGAATTCCAGACTTAAAGCAGTTTTTTTTTTTTTTTTTTTAAGGCATCCAAATGTTGGGGATTAACTTCTGGAATTATAGGATATTTATGTAATATGATAAGGCTGGCTGTCTTGGTATCTTTTCTCCTTACCAATATAAATTATTTGAAGTACAAGGAAGCAAAATTAGCTAATAAACTCAATTGTGTTCTTTACTCTCCAATTCCTTTTCTAATGCTACGTAAATTTAAAGCTACTTTGAAATGCCTTGAAGAAGATGCCTTCACAGTATGTTTTTACAGTGGGAGGCAAATAGAATACTACTTAGATTTTCATTTTTGTGTGAGTTGTCACGTTCACAGGCTACTGCAGTTTAGAAGCTTTTTAGCCCTTTTTTATCTTTCCAAGGATCACTTTATTAATTGCTTCAAGCATTACTGCAGGAATTTGACCTAGCCCATATCCATCCCTTTTTAATAAACTGTATTCCTTAGACAAACTTCATTTGTTAACATTTTCTGTATCAGAAGAAATCTAATAACATTTGAAAGCCACTATATTTCAGATACTATTTAATTTGTCTTCACATTTATCATATAATCCACACTACCCTGTGGGTTAAGTATTACTACTGTCACAATTTTACATGATATAAAGTTCCAAAGACGTCAACCTTATAGTCCAAAATCTTTGAGCTAATGGGAAGGGGGAGAGATACTGCATTACCTCAGGGACCCAAACAAGACCCATCTTCACAGTGGATCTTGTCCAAAGCATGAACCTTTACTTTGGGGGACCATGCACTAGTGACAAGCCTTCCAGCACCAGCAGTGTTACCTTTGAGTACATAAAATGAGTAATATGAAAACTGAAAAGTCCTGTCTTCTAAAGAAAAAAGAAGTGGGTGGAACCATTTGGGTATTGGATCAGAATAGCTGTTCATTCCATGTGGAGCCTCAAGAGTAGAATAAATACCCTACATGTGGATCCTGGACGTGTTAGCTTGATTAAATGATTATACAAAGTCCATCTATCTGTGGAACTGTGTAACTCCTGAGAAAAGCATGCATCCATGGATAGATCTGATTCATAAAAACTGCCCTCTTTTCTCTAAATATTACTGGATTTTTGTAATAAATGACCCAGGCAAAATAGAAGACGTAGTAAGTGGAGAGGAACGGTGGGTGATTTCTTGAGGAGTAGGCAGGAGACCTCCAAGACAGGGGTCTCTGTCAATCAGGAAGTTTGGCTTCCAGGACAGTTAGCAGCTGCATACATCATGGTTACCAGACTGGGGAAGACTGCAGTCACATGGCTTCCTTAATTAGCAACTAGTGTTTTATTGATTAAAATCAGGAACAACAATAGGGAACTTGTGAAGCTTTCTACAAATGTCTTTGAAATTTTTTTCATTTTTCTTTTTTAATATCCACTCCCCTCAGAAATTCCTATACATTTAGGTGCAGAGATCCCACTCTGTATCTCCCTTGAATGAATTGTTTTGGTATTACTGTTTCCTCTAATAATGAAATCACAAGGTTTGTGTATGTATGTGTCCACGTGTGTTTACACACATGTATAAAACATTTATTTTAAATGTCTACATCAGTGCAGTGAGTATCCTCATTGACGGCATCTGTTCCTTTATGTTCAACATTTCTCTCTCACATTCCTCAGGCCTTTTGTCTAACTGGTTTTCCAAATAAATACAATTCCTGGTACGAATCCTAAAATTAAAAATTGCTTTAGTAAGCAAGAAAGTTCCTTTTTTACTCTTTAGAGTTGCCATTATTGTTTGAATTTTTAGAAGTTAGTTTCCCTAAATCATTTTTAAATTTTTATTATTAATACATACAACGCTAAACTTAACATTATTGTATTACCTAAGGATTATTGTCAACTGATAGTCTATAAAAACACAGTAGCATTACCCATCTAAACAGGAAAAAAAAAATTTTTTTTTAGTTAATACTATCAAGGGAAGAATCTCTAGATAATTTAGTTTGTCATTCCTTTTATTAGTATAATATTATAGAAGACGTTTTTTTGGTAAAAATGACTTAAATGGATATCTTGTACTTCACAGTTTCCCTTCAAGCAACTCTCTTATCTTCCTTCCAAAAGTGGTGAAAGTTGGGGGATAATTTGTCTGTTATAAAACAGAATACTTGGATTCGCTCATTGATTTACAACTCCCTAAGCTAACCGTGTTGCAGCCGCTTATCTCAGATGTGCAGAGCATGAAAATCTACTGTTCTTCTGCATATTTAATTTAAACAATCAGAAAATGTGATGTATCTACAGGATTCTTATTGCCTGGCCCAGATGTCTTTTAGAATGCATCATAAATGCTACCCAAAGTGCTGTCCTTATGCATGCAAAATATTTAAATTTGGAACCTTTACATGGGAAAATGGGCCTACTTATTAAAATGTTGTGAATAGGAAAGAATAATCATTTTAAGGCTTGGTCTAATATGTTATTCACTTTTGAAGAAGACCACGGTCTCCAGCCTTTCTAAAGACACTGCATCTTCTGTCAGTAGTGAAGACAAATTTTGGTAGACAGTTTACATGGACCAGCAGGATTTCCACAAGCCCATCCTCTTGTCTACCACTGTTTGGCCCAGAGCTTTCAAGCCACCTTTTCTCAAGTTTATACCCTTCGGTGCAATTTTCCAATCACAGCTGCTGTTAACTTGCATAGACTTCCCCCTCCCCCAGTCTAGTTTCTACAGTACTCTTTAAGTCAAAAAATATATAAGGAAGCTATTCCTGCTTCATTTGCATTTTTAGGAGCTAAAAGAAATTTTACAAACCATGATAAAAAATGATGTATCTTATAACCCATTTTATGCAGTAAGAAGCTGAGTTGGTTTATTTTATAACCACCCAATATTTCAGAACAGACCTGTCCACTCTCCTTGGAGTAAGTACCTATCCACCCAATTTCTATTCAGTTGATGCCTTCTAATTTTTCAAGCCCAAATCAAATGCTTTCCCCTGAAGTCTTTGCTCCCATAATACCTGAAGTATAATGTTAATACCACTCACAGAATATTTTTTTAAGCACCCTGCTTGCTATCTGCACTTAGGGAGATGTGCACTGGTGCAGTTATTAGGGTATCTGAATTCTATTCTATTCACTATTTTGGTTGTACCACAAGATACATTGGTGACTTTCACCACATTTCATAACCTCTGTGGGATCTATAAAAAAAATTCAAAAGGACAGGTTAAGAAACTGAGGCTGAGGTCATAGAGCATCCCAAATCACCTTACTCCAAAGTGTGATCTTTCCGATTCATAAAACATTCCTTTTGCTATGAGAGCAAGCTAACTGAAAATCCTGGAAATTTTTATGAGCATTGTTCTGTAACACACCAGGGAATAGAACTAAAACCAGCAGGTAGAACCTATTTAACATGGTAATATGTCATTTGAGTCACCAAGAGGAGGGTGTAATCTGAAGTACTTCTTACACATGTTTCATCATAAAGCTACTCTTTCCCGGAATATCTGAGATAGCCTTCTGGAAACCCTGGGTTCAGTCATTGTGTTTCCAAAAGACAGGCTTCGTAATGAAGCTGTGCTCATGGACTAGAGAAAGACCATAAACGGTGCAGCCATTACCAGAGTCTTGACTTCATCTGGGGATTTTGGAGACTTGCTGTGTCTGATGGATAGCTGAACCTGGGCACTAGCAGCGAGGGGTATCGAGGTTGTGACACCCCACATATGCAGACAAGCGAACACTGGAAATCACAGGCGACAGTGGCAGAGTGGGGGAAGAACACAAATTCACTCCTTAACTTGAAAGAGGGCCCAACAGACAAACTCCTAATGCAAAAGTGATTGGTATTTAACTTTTCCTGATTCCTTAACCCAGTTTCATAGCTCCTGCCTTAATTTTACCTTGTATTGGGTTTATTTTTCCTCTTCTTAAGTAACAAATTACCAAAATTTAGCTGAATACAACAATACCCATTTATTCAGTTTCTGTATGTCAAGAGTCCATGCATGGCTGAATAAAACAATACTCATTTGGCTGAATAAAACAACATGCATTTATTACTTCACAGTTTTCACAAATTGAGAGTCCACACAGGGCACACCCAGATCCTGATCAACATTATGCAAGCTGAAATCAGGCTGTTGGCCAGAGAGTTTTCTTATCCACAGCACAAAGTCCAAGAGCATTCAGAGTGTCTACACAATTCAGTGTCTTATGGCTAAAGGGCTCAACTTCCTTTTTGGTTTCGTCCCCCTCAGGCTCTTGGCTAGAATCACGGTCAGCTCCTAACCATGGGGCTCCTTGTGCAACAGGTCACAGCATGGCTGTTTGATTTCTTCTAGGGTACCAGAAGAGGCCTCTGAACAACAGCTGTCTCTTCCCCGTTTGGAAGGCTACATGGCTAAGTCAGGCCCACCAAGAAAATCTGTCACCTGAACAGGGACTTTAATGCTTTCATCACAAGACCACCCTAGGTTTTATAACATATAATAAGCATGAAAGTAATTCAATCAGATATTTTTCAGTCTTTAATATTGTTAGTGCACATAAGCTTACCAGCAACTACTGCAATCTGGCAGATTTCTGTATGCTTTCATTTTGGACATGATCTAAGTGCTATGATGTACTGGAATATCAAATCCTCTTTAGATAACCCTCAATTACAAAGAAAGGAAGGCAGACAGCAGGCTGAAGCCTTTTAATCTGCATTCCTCCACAAAGCTAGTCTAGCTATAACTCATGTTTCACCTAAGGTATTTAATTTTATTGCGGAAACAAAACATTTGTCATAGACCTAAACATTTTTAGGACTTGAGAATAAAAACAAACTTTTTTGTAACTAACATACAGTCAGTCTGTTTGTAGCTTTCCTGACCAGGCCTATTGTGTAAGAACATTCCTGTACAGCCAACTGGCATTACACAGGGGGCCTAGAAATAAGAACATAACTTCAGGAAGCAAAACCTGGGTATCTGACAGACTTCCTTGATCAGCTTATTCTTCTTTGGGCAGAATGATTGTAAGAAGGTCATTCCATACACTAAGCCTGAATCTGCCATTTGGTAGCTTTTGCAACTAACTCTATCCTTCCCCATATACCTCAAGCAAAAAAACAATCATCCAGTCTGGTTTCTCCTGATGGTTCTTTGGGTGCTGAAATCTGGTGATTGTGACTCTCCGGAGTGGAAGAAGCGATTGTAATTCTCCAGTACACAGTTTATTAGGCTACCAGATAAGTTATGCACTATTTTACAAGGGAAGAGAACTTGCCAACATGTTTTACAGGGTTGCTTGGGACCAGCAAGCATGTTGCACATGTGCATCACAAAGATTCTTAAAACTAAAAGTGCTGTCAGTAATGCTTTCCCTATTTTGTTTACAGAGTGAACGAGAAACCATCACTTTCTTTGCACAAGAGGACAGCGCTTTCCCTGCACAGACTGGCCCCAAAGCCTTCAAAATTCCCTACTCTATCAGACAGCGGATTTGTGCTACGTTTGATACTCCCAATGCCAAAGGCAAGGACTGGCAGATGTTAGCACAGAAAAACAGCATCAACAGGTAACTGCTAACGATTTCATGGGGAGAATTTTGGAAAATAAAGTGGGCTGAGATCCAGGTGGGTCCTGATAGCTTTAGATTTCTCTGACCCTATCTGATCTGTGGTCCTACTAAGGTGACAACTGTGTGTGGTATTTCCTGTCACCTCATCACCACCTTTGGAGACATCGTGGACAAACTGTGCTTTGGTTCCGGCCCCATATCTAAGTGTGCTTACTGCTCACACAAATAGGCTTGGACTGTGCCATCTTGCTGCTTGTGGGTGATCAGAGTCCAGCTTACGCTGGTGTCACAGACACAAAGCAACAAATTTCTCCCGTTCCTCCTGACTGTTAATGTGTACATGTACAGCCTGCAAAAGTGAGAGCCTGAATACAAAAAAAGAAGTTTGAAGAAGACCCTCACGTCAGAAGGCAGGAAGCAACACATAACAGAAGGTGACTTAGACATCTTTAGTGAGTATACTTGTAAAGCTCACACTGGTCCTTACTGTGCTCACTCTAAAGCTGAGCAGGGCCAGAGCAGATTCCTGATGGGCTCAATGACTCCAGGTGGGCAAAGGCAGAGTGATGCTCTCAGAGCCACCGGATAGATGGGCAGGTTAGGGCTCCGCCTGAGGGGTAGCTCGCAGGGAGAAGGCACTGATGAATGAAATCTAGTCCCCCCTCTGCGTGCTGCTAAATGAATAGAAATGAGACCAAGTTTTGCCAGGACTATGTTATTTCCTTTTTCTCCTGTAGAATTGTTTCTCCCTTTTGAGGCAAAGGCTTACTTTCTTACTATTTGGCTAGCTCTCTTATTTGCATTTTTTGTTATTTGCAGACATCCTACCTGCCTCTTTCTTGTCTGAAAGGGAGGGTAGATGTCTGCCAAGAAGGGTTGGAGTATGACTCCTTCCGAAGGGATCAGAAGCCAAGAAGGAAGAGGAGAGCTAGACAGGAGTCAGATGCGTCGCTGCCAGAGGAAACTGAGCAGGCAGGCCCGGAAAGAACAGATAACATTCTTGAAAAGGCGTGTTGAAAATGAAAGAATACAAAAGTATATGAGTGTACAAGAAAAGCAGGGTGCTTTTTCCCTGCAGTTTTGATGAAGGATGAGATGTCTTATTTATAGTGTCAGCACCACAATTATTTCAAGTTCAATTCTGATCCTCGGGAACTCACAATACAAAACTAACCCAGAGAATATATTTTGGTTTAACAAAAGAAATTGATAGACAGACACACACTACTTCAGACAGAAACTCAAAACACTGGCTTTGCTACCAATCCCTGTCAGCCCAAGTATGTCATTTACCATCCCATCTTTTCTCTTTCCAGAAATGCAGTTCATAGGACTGGAAATAAAGTAAATCTCTAATTTATGCTATAACATTTTATGATTTTTTTTTAAATAAAGGAAGAATACTTCTTCAAAGACGGGGCGGGGGAAATAGCTACTCAGCAGAATAGGGGGGCATCAGAAAGGCAAATATGCCAGAATTTTATGACTTTTAAGTTACTGTTTGGGGTAAAAAACTGCCACAAAGTATTGACATACCCACAGGACCTACAGGAGGAGCATTTTGCTCTATTTTAATCTGCATTTAGCCTTATGCAAAAGACCTAAAATGTGGACATCCCCCAAAGTCCTCATTTCTGGCATCCCACAGCAGGGGAAATGCATTCCACACAGGGAGCCTCAGTTTTGTGGCTGTTTGTGTCCTGAGATGAATGCGTACCACTGGAGCCTGACACCCCTCAGCCTGGTTTCTTTCTTGGGGGTCATAAACTTGAGCCCTTGATGTACCTGTTTGTTTGTGTGTTTATTTTTCCTAATATTCCATCTCCAAAGGCTAGATTCCCTTTAAAAAGTCAAATGCCTAATATATGGGAAATTTCTCACTTAATGCTCAAAATATGTAGATTCACAACAGATATTAGTCACCCCTTTGACACTGTCGTAGTAGTTGCCAAATTAGAATAGCATGAGTATAGGTAAGTGTACTTCTACCTAGAGATCTTTCACAGCTGACACATGCAATTTCAGTGAGTAGCATTTCCTGCTTCCTCTTTGTTCCTTAGCTTTCATCTTCAAAAGTAGCTTATCTGTTGGTAAGAATGATTTAAACTAGAGGTCAGGGGCTGGGGATTTAGCTCAGCGTTGTAAGCACCTGACTGGCAAGCACTAGGTTGTGAGTTGGATCCCCAGTACCAAAACAACAACATCAGCAACAAAAATAAATAAATAAACAAACAAACAAACAAATAAACTAGAGGTCAGGTTCTTTTCTGGAAAGGACCAGAAAGTAAGTAATTTAAGCCTTATAGGAATCCATTGTCACTGCTCAGCAACTGTTCATCTCTGCCTCTGTTGTGTGAGAACTGCCAGAACAAAACAAAACAAAACACACACACAGATAGACCTGGTTGCGTTTTAGTGCTCACAGAAATACATAAGAATCCATATCTGGCCTCCGCTTATGGGTTTCTATGGTTTGGTCTCACTTAGGAAAACCTCCATAGGAGTTGTCCCTTCCATCACGATAATTCCTGGACTGAGGATTCTCATTGGCTTCTACAGCCAAGTCTGCGCAAGGCAGAAGAGGCTGGCATGTGCCTACAGCACAGAGGCCACAAAATTTGGAGAAGCAGAATAGGAGGATGGCGACACAAACCACCTTGCACCCAGAGCCGAGTCTCCTCATTTTGCAGAAAGGCCCAATTCCTTTTGTGTTCTTATTGTACCAAGTATGTACATTTTCCTTCATGGAAAGAAATGGATGACAGGGAAGCAAGAGGCTTTCACATGTAATCCACCACAAGTTCTCAGTGTGATCACCAAACATTGTTTTCAGTCTTATAATTGAAAATATCAGTGTGACACTCAGAAATTTAAAATACAGAAAGCTAAAATCAACAATACAGCAACATTCTTAGATAAAGAAGCTACTTCAAAAGCTTTAGAGTTCATTAATTCAGGAGTTACAACAGAAAGATGATCAGGAAGGGTAGTGGATTGGTAACTGGTGGTTGATTTAAACACCAGCTGAACCGAATCAACATGTTGCTAAGCATGGATGGCCCCACCTGAGAGACTTGGAGAGGAAGAGCAGCGTTAGCATCATGGGTTCTCCTAAGTGTGGTTCTTGGGAGCTGTTGGTTCTCCTGGAGGAGCTTGCTGAGCTTCTTCCCTGATAGAAACTTGGCTTTTCTCATCATCAAGGGAGCTAGGGACCTTGTGGTCACTGAGAATGACTGAGGTTCACTTTGGGGGACCTCTGGTCCTTCCAGCGAGCAGCACTTCCTGTCTCCAGAGGGGAAGATATGTGCTGCCCAATCTCCAGGAGAAGCTGGTCACACTGACTTCCTCATACATACTCTGCCATTCCCATCATTGGAGGGGCCCCGGACCCACTGTCACTTAGGATTACTGTGGTGTGTTTCCCGGGACCCCTGGACCTTATTTTGAGCACTGCTTCTTGGCTCCAGTGCAGAACCCTCAACCTCCTAGCACAGATCCTTCATCGCACTGGCATAGACTTTCTAACTTCCTCTGCTGACCTGTGGGCTTTCTCGGCGCAGATCCATGAAATAGACTTGCATGAGCCATTTTCATGGGCTCTAGGTCCTCAGCTGAACTTATGCAGGTTATTGCAGTGGGATCCAGGTCCTCAGCTGGATTTTCTAGATCTTTAGTGTTGTGGACGGATTTCCTGTACTTTCTTTATATCTGACTCCTTGGGCAACCATTATAAATAATACTATAGATTTTGTGTCTTGTAATTGTTCTCCTTGAAGCCCCTGACTACAACAGAAAGCATAGAGTCAGTTATGTTATTCAGAGAACTGCCCTGTCTTGGTCTTGTGATAGTGCTTTTACAGTCTTCTCTTTTCAACTTCTGAAATTGTTAAAATGTTAGCAAAGTAACAGCTCTCAAGTCATGAAGGAAGAGTTTTTTCCAAAGAGAATGGAGAAAATATTTGACTTTTGTTTGCTTTTATTTTTAAAGCCAGTGAAAATGTTCTCTCTCTCTCCTTTTGGTAAGTGCACATGTCCCTGATGGTAATTTGCCATTTTGCCAAAAAGACTCCGCCTAGATCTGAAGGACAGAGAAGACAGGCAATGGAAAGTTATGAGAATGTATGACAGGACCACATATATGGTGCACGTGATATATCTGGCATCTTGGGTGGCCATCCAACTTCTGTCACAGGGTTCCTGCTAAATGAGCTACACAGCTCCACAAGGAATGTCACAGATAACAGTTCCAACTAGAGAGTCCTTGCGTAAACTGTATTACTCAGCATCCATGCTTGCAGCATTTCTAAGCTGAGATTGCACTTTGAATCTGTAAAATTAGCTGCAGTAACTCTCCATGTCAGTGCTCTGGGCTGCCTGTGATTGAGGAGTGGGGCTGAGAATTCAGGAATTGGCCACGTAGGTACTATCTGAACCTTTCTGCTTCAGCCAGAAGTAATCCCCTGTTTCTGAAGTTTCACAACACTTTGTGTTACTGATTTTTAGATTATAATTAAACATACCTAAATAAAATCATCTAGTTATAGACAGTTCACTAAATGTTTCTTGAATAAATAATATGAACCCTTTCATAGAATGGTGTACTTGACCTTAAAAACATGCCTCCTTCTAAACAGAATGATAAGAACAAGCATCAAGGGATTTAAAAGTTAACTATACAAGAAAACAATATATTACTAACGTTCTTTTCCCTTGGGTTTTAGTATCCAAAGTTTCAGGTCATTCTTTCATAAGGCCTCATGATTTCTATATTACAGAAATTTCCATCACTGTCACAGTGCTAAGGGGAAAGATGTACGAATTAAAGGTAGGTGCACAGGTAGAAGGTAAACAGATGGAAGGAAATTCCAAAAAAAGGAAGTACTGCATAAATCACACCCTATTAGCAGTTTTGCTCGAGGCCCTCCTTGATAGTATACTTGTTTGAAAATATATAAGCACTGTCAGGGAGACACATTTCTTATCGGTCAGCTCCTTAA